AGTGAAAAATTTAAGGGGGTCTGAATACTTTCCGTACCCACTGTATATGATTTAGTTAATAGAAGTTAATTGATAAATAAAATCTATTCATGACATTATTTTTATACAAAAATCTCACTGGATTTTTACAATGAATGGCAAAAGGAATGTTTGGAAATGTAAACTGATATTTCCTCCTGACACACTATAGGAAAAAATATAGGAATTATAGGAAATATCTGGCTTTAAACCATTTTTTGTTGGTGAAAATACAAATGGCCAAATAAGACGTTTGCACAGTAGTGTGTGTGTGTGTGTGTGTGTGTGTGTGTGTGTATGTATATATATATATATATATATATGATTTTAGCATTTATTTATTTTGAGCTAATTTAAAAGCAGATTTTGAATCAGTTCAGAATATATAGGGCACCTGTGTGTGTTGTATGGCCACAGCTGACTATTAAATAGGTGGTTAGATCACAGGACCTAGTTAGATCAAGCTCTGACTTCAAACTCCAGGAATCAGTTGAGATCGATTAGCAATGGTGCTCAATGCACAATGTGTTTATACAGGATGCACTGAAATGTCAAGGGTGGCTAATACAGTTCCAGACGCCACTGCTGCCATTCACTAACAAATGCTGCCATTATGTCATAGCAACCATTTATAAAGACATTATCTTTTCAAATGACACCAAATGTGATTTTACTAAACGATTTTAACACAATGCCACAAAACAGAGCATATCAAAACGGGGGGCCTCAAACATGCAGTCTTATGATGCATCATCTACTAGCATAAGAACAAACATCTACTGGTCCTACAACAGATGCCACCTCCTCAGTTAAAAAGCATAACAAATTACCTTTTATAAACGCCATAATATGCAAGGAGATGCTCAACCTGATCTAGCCAAATAATACATGATAGTTGTGATTCATATCTTACATTTTATACCAAAGTGTAAAGTTGTTTAGCGTAAAGTTTCTGAAAAGAGATTACACACAGCATGGGGCCCCGATAAACATGTTCAGTTTCCCATGGTTTAGCCTAAAATGTCACAGAATATCTTCACTGTAGACTATGGTTCAGAAGTTTGGGGTCGGTACGATTTTTAAAAATGTTTTCATAAAAAGTATCTTATATTTACCAAGGCTGCATTTATTTGAACAATATAGTAAAAACAGTAATATTTTTAAAATTCTATTTCAATACATTTTAAAATAGCTCAATTATAATTTAAAATAAGCAGCCATTACTCCAGTCTTCAATGTCACATTATCGTTCAGAAATCAATATAATGCTGATTTGGTGTTCAAGAAACATTTCTTATTCACAGCTTTAGCATCAAGTTCAACCCTGTTTTTTTTTTTTTGCAGTGGTTCATTGTATAAAGGTTACAATATAAACAAACTACTAAATGTGTATTGTTCACAAAAGCAGCCCAAGACTACCTTATTGCACTTTTTTTGTCGTTTTTGACTTCTCAGTCAGTCTGGATCACTTGTACTCTGTTCTTCACAATCTTCAGGCACCTACCAGGAAATGAAAAACATGATATGAGAGATCAAACTAATCACTTACAATAAACCATTTGAAATGATCTACAAGAATCAGGAAGCAAAATGAGGAAACAACTACAACTTAATAACTAACTTACTACCTTAGTTGAAAGAGTTTGATTTCTGATGAACAACCTTAAATTTCAAAACTCCAAACTTTCTTTCCCAGTGGAAAAAAAAGCAGCATCTATTGAAATTAAGCTACAAAAACAACCCAATGCTTCTGCAAAATTGTGCTGTCACAGACATAAATGCACCAATACAAATGCATGACCACATTTACACATTAACCCATTTGGTGAACAGAAACTTGGCCCAGTCACTCTGCTTTAATTCACCAATATCTATTGATAACGTGGCAAAGTCTGCCACATCTTGCACTGTTCCTGTTGTTGTGTAGCACCTGCTACTCTGCATATCCTTCTGCAAATGAGTGCCTGAAGCTTATTTTAAACATTAAACATCTCATCATTAACTATACAAACACTCAAATTTGTGAAATCTGCAGATGAATGTTTTCACAAACTCATCAAGATCCACCAATAGCTTTGATTCTAAAATCTGTTTTACATTTACGAAAAAATGTAGGAACTTAACTAAGAAGCTGAACTGAAACCACACAAAAATCACATACTCTGGGTGGCCTTATAGATGCGTTAAGATTATTTTTTTATGCATACATATTTTTAAATGGTTAAATACATTTAACCAAATACAGTGAAAGTGTATAAAGTTGAAATATTACGAGAATAAAGTCGAAATGTTTCGAGAATAAAGTTGAAATATTACGAGAATAAAGTCGATATGTTTCGAGAATAAAGTTGAAATATTACGAGAATAAAGTCGATATGTTTCGAGAATAAAGTCGAAATATTACGAGAATAAAGTCTAAATGTTTCGGAATATTTTTAAGTTTCGACTTTATTCTCGAAACATTTCGACTTTATTCTTGTAGTATTTCGACTTTATTCTCGAAACATTTCGACTTTATTCTCATAATATTTCGACTTTATTCTCGAAATATTTTGACTTTATTCTCGTAATTTCGACTTTATTCTCGAAATATTATAATTTTAATCTCATAATCTTAGATTTTTTTTTTTTTAACGTGGCACTAAAACGCCGTCGTACTTATATTTTAAACTTATAGCTTATTTTAAACATTAAACATCTCATCATTAACTATACAAACACTCAAATTTGTGAAATCTGCAGATGAATGTTTTCACAAACTCATCAAGATCCACCAATAGCTTTGATTCTAAAATCTGTTTTACATTTACGAAAAAATGTAGGAACTTAACTAAGAAGCTGAACTGAAACCACACAAAAATCACATACTCTGGGTGGCCTTATAGATGCGTTAAGATTATTTTTTTATGCATACATATTTTTAAATGGTTAAATACATTTAACCAAATACAGTGAAAGTGTAAAAAAAAAGCTGCATTATAGCTCGAGCTGCGAGGTTCCTCTGCATAAAAATGCAGATATGCGTATGTACACCTGGCTAATAAGACATCTGTAGTCTGGGTCGAATTAAAGGTGTTTTAAACTGGTTTTGAGGATGGCACACTTGCCATTGTTTGAGGAGCTTGCTGCTCATCTCTCACATACAGTAAGAGCATCTTTAGAGACAAAAAGGCTGTAAAGGAAAGGTTGTGCTGAAAGGCCTTAAAGGTTAAAGGTTAAGAACATTTTTGAGTATGTACACACATGTATTGTGTACGACGGCGTTTTAGTGCCACGTTAAAAATTTTTAAAAAATCTAAGATTACTAGATTAAAGTCGAAATTACGAGAATAAAGTCGAAATACTATGAGAATAAAGTCTAAATATTACGAGAATAAAGTCGAAATGTTTCGAGAATAAAGTCGAAATATTACGAGAATAAAGTCGATATGTTTCGAGAATAAAGTTGAAATATTACGAGAATAAAGTCGAAATGTTTCGAGAATAAAGTCGATATGTTTCGAGAATAAAGTCTAAATATTACGAGAATAAAGTCGATATGTTTCGAGA